TTTATATGCTGACAGAGGAAGTGAGTAAGAGGCAATGTCAAGGATCTGAAAGAACCGGAATGTGTTACAGGAGACGTGTAGGAATTGAGCAGTTAATAAACAGCGGACATAAACATTTTACGGCACCAAAATTTGTGGCCAGAGAACGCAACAGGTATGACAGTTCAGTGGCATTCAAGAATAACTTACCCAACTCCATTAAACTAAGATAGTATGGGCGAATTTAATGTATATGTATATATATGTTACGTATCCGGCAAACAGTGGGCTGGGAGCTTCGAAAGAGAGCAGTTAAAAATTACAGTCTAAGGAAACATTTAGGAACTAAGGAAATATGGCCAACAACCAAACTTGTTACACTTTTTGCACGGGAGGTCACAAGGTCGTAACTGGGTTCAGAATACGGTTATACTGACTTAATATTATTATAGCTTACAGCAGTCCCAGCAGGCAGATTGGTAGTTGGAACTTAATATGCACTAAACAGTTATAAGGAACCGAACCTTTCATTTATGTTTAAATAATACACAGACATTGACGTTAAGGACACTGTAAAATTATAATAAGGTATAGTCGTCCTTAAGCGACATGTCCATAAAACTGAAAGTGCCAACAGAGGCCATTATCTCCTCAATTCACGTCCATCTAAATACATGATAGTGAAGTTTACATAATATGCTGCTAAACAAACACACATTTATCGAACAACTTAAGAGACTAGTCAGACTTTATTATTATTATTTGCGAAATAGCGTAATAAATGTTCACAGACTTATATTAGACAATATTAGCTTGTGAATAATACTAATGACGATGAATGATCATTCAATTTAAATTGGATAATACGTAGATCTTTATTGATTTTGTATACTACACACAACTGAAAATAAAAATTGTGTATCTATAAGTTGATCTGTACATATAATTCTCAATTTTACTGCTCCTAAGTTGGAGACTTACTCTTCGAATTTATCTTTATAAATTTTGGTATAAATATTTAAACTTGTTTCTTAAAGCTTGCCTTGAGATTAGAGAAAGTTTTTTTTATGTATAAAGCTTAGTTTAAAATTCTATTTTGTTTCTTTAAGTGTATGGATTAAATATGTATTATCTGAAGGCTGAATATGATTTTCTCATAATTTGTTATCGGAGTTACTTTACGTTCACACAGAATACGAAATAGGAACTCAAAAGAATCGAAAATCCCCGTTCTTATTAAGTTGTGCTGGCTAATTAATTTTATATAGACCCATAGTTAAGTGTCACATCTTTAAGTAAATCATAATCACATAGGCTATAATCTTTACATAAACCACAAACCCTATCCTCTGCGTAGAAGGGGCTAATTTGTCAGGAAATTAGTCACTGAAAGTCCTGCTTACCCATGCCCTAGTCGATTCTTCTTGCAGGTGAAGTTTTTTGGGCGCAGAATTTAGTTACAACTGCTCATCTATCTCCTTTCACTGCTTGTTTCTGGACCTGGTCAGTAATCTTGGGGGTCGAGTCACTCGTCCTTGTTTCGCCCATTAGTACAATCGATTTTTGGCTCGAGGCTTTAACACCAAAGATGTTTAAATAACATGAATGCGATCGGTGGGTGTGAGTAAACATGAAAGGTGAATACCTAAGGATTTTGATTAAGACTGTCATCGCCTGCTATCTCAAGACACCTAGGGAAGGCAAGAGAACTTAGCAGGATATTATAAATATAGGAGACGTTCTAATGCAGCGAGACACGTATAAACTCCGATAAAATGCTTTTAATTTTAAACTGACTTTCCTATGTTAAATTTTCTCTCCGATATTTACTTGAATAAAAGCACACCAACATTTAGTTCAATAACTTGAGGACAGCAGACCGTAGAAAACCGATAAGATGAATCTTGAAGCTTCAGGATATTAGACTATGGAAACCAGTCGTCTGACTCAGGATACAGACTATTGCTGGCCTGTTGTGGACACGCTAATATATTTTCGTTTTCATAAAAGACGAGGAATTTCTTAGCAAGCTAAGCAACTATTAGATTCTCTAATAAAATATGATCCATTAATTTGGTTGTTTATTGAAAGTAAATTATGTCCGCGAATTATTTCAAGATAAAAAGAAAAGTAATTTTAATTATTTTATAGTATTTTATAAGAAAATATACCATTGCATCATACTTTAAAATAGAATGTGTTACAGGAACGTTAGTGGGCATTATAAGTCATCCAGGTATTTCTTATCCGTAGACTATTAGACTGGACTTATCTGTAGATTATACTATAATAGACAACTGTCCACTGCAAATCACGAAGTTTTCATAGATTGCCAGAAATCACTGTCCTAAACGCAATTTTCAATACTTGAAGCACGTTCCATTTGCATGCATACGGCTTTATACATGCAACTGGAAGGCAACGCAAAGGAAAAAAAATCTTTATGTGGTGTGTGCTTATGTTACTCGTAAATACTTCATATTGCGCCTAACACGCAGAAATTATAATACTGAGCATGCGTAGAGCGTGGCGTGTGACATATCCGCGTCTGGCTTCGTTAGAGCCCCGAGATAAATGTGGGGAGAAACACATTTTGTGGACGACTAAAAATTCTTGTTGACCTACGTCTTCATAGATTCGTACGTGTGAGTCAAATATTACAGTTCTACAACTTCTTATTTATTTATATTCGGAAGCAATTGACTAGTAATATAAACTAACACTAATTTCTTCCAAATAAACTTTCTATCGGTATACGTCTTTAAATATTTTTATTCAATTTGGTTGTTGCGTTTATTAACCACGTAGGAACAAAATTCTATTAACACACAACAAATCAAGATTGAAAATTAAGTGACGTTGGTTTCAAATTTGCATAGAAGTTCGCGCATTGCAATTCTTGATAGTATGGAAACAAAATGTAAACATTTGTATCCAGGCAAAAGTTTCACGAATACCCAAAATCTGGTGTAAGAGGTAATATATGAAAGACACAGCTATGAACACAGGAACACGATTTTACCATAAGAATATATTTCTTCATGCAGTATCGAAAATGGACAAAATGTAGGACGAAACATACTTCAGTCTCACGTTTCATTAAAAGTCAGGCGTGAGAGAGACAAGGAACAGTACAAGGTTCTCAGAGCAGCTTCGACAACGAAAATACGGAGCTCGCAACTGCAAATCGTTTATCTGTTCCTGGGAGTTGCCAGTGGCCCATTTGCTGTTTGGCTCGGCAAACAGAATGTGCGTCGCTTTAAATAAATAAAGAGGAAACTGTTGCAGACAGACGGCAAGAAGCCAGAAGTGTAAATACGATACGTAGGAATGAGTGTGCTCTTACATCACTGGCACTCAGATCTGTGGCTGGCGTTAGAGAATTCACTTCAAGATTTGGTATTTATTACGTCGAACCACAGGTGGCCCGCAGTTCTCTGGCCGTGTG